CGCATAATTTTTTATTTATGTTCTCATGCTTCATGCTACTGAATTTATGGAACATTTTGCAGATTTTCCTTTCGCTAATTGTATTTTATTAGGTTTTGTTGGAATATTCGCGAAAATTCGCACAAAAACATGTAGAACTTGTTTAAAAATATTTAAATATTGTCGTCAAATGTGATATTTTTGGGCAAAAGAAATTTCGCTTACGTATACTGCAATTTTAGACTGTAAGCTACAAATTTCTCATTTTTTAAATTGTATAGCAAGACTGCCAGGCTGTAAGATTTTGCCGAGCAGAAGAACATAGCAGAAGGATTTAACCGAGAGAAAATTGGTGGGGAATTTTAAATTAATTTGAAAGCTAACTTTTAAGAGGGCAGTTAAAAATTAGCCAGTGAAAATATCCTTTTTTTCGAAATTTCCACTGGTTTACACTATAAATTTTACAGCACACTTTTTTTAAATTGTGGAGGAATAATTTTCGATATTTTTTCCAATTTATGTACCCTCTTTCGGATTTTTGTTTTTCATGGAATTTTCGGCTAAGAGTTTAAAGGTATTGAATCGCTAATCCCATCTTCGTAAGATTACGGTAAGCTAAGAGTCATGAGCAATGTCTCATAATCGTCTCAGGACTTGTTTATCTACGACATGTCGATTTTGTATGCTAGCCCTTGCTGGGGGATTACGGTAAGCTTGCGGTGCTTCATTTACATCAGTGGCACTGTATCAAGCGTCACTGTAAGAAATATAATACGGTATTCACACCCGTCCTCCAAAACAGCCCACTACAAAAGAGTTTTCAGACGTTTCTGAAGTTCCGACCTGCTGCTGTAGACGTACCGTAACCCTAGGCAAATGAAGTTGCGGTACAAAATGAAAACGATTTTTGTAGTCAGCTACCAACCGTCTTACACGACGATTTAGTAAAAGAATAATATTATGAAAATTTTTGGACACATAAACTGGAATATTACAATTCTCATTTTGAGAGGGAAAGAGATGAAGAATATTAAATTGGAAATAATTTAATTTTAAGCCATGTTTTAGAATAATTTAAAATTATCTATGGCGCATTCTGGTGTGTGCTTGACAGAAATGGGGACTCCAAGTTCTTTGTGCTTTTATTACTAACATTATTCTCGGTGACAGAAACTTCTGAATTATACGCCTTTCTGGAGCACGTGTCCAGATGGGTTAAGGTGACCGCAGGCAACAACATTTTGTACATCTCTTACACGCACATAACGGAGTGGCGCAAAAAAAACGCAGCGTTTTAAGCATTAGATAAAAAAGCTGTGTTGCAGCGGTGGTTCAATAACACCTATTAGCAAAGAACAAGTAGCTAAGGCTCGGCGGCCTAAAGTGCGGGTAAAAGTGACGTCCGCAAGTAACAATAACATCATTCATGGAGACAGTAGCGTGGATAACGTCGTAGAATGACTTGACAACACTAGAATGTACATAATATTCCGATCCTCCTTGGGCCAAGAATTATTGCTTGCGTACGAGGATTCGCAGGGATCAGATACTCAGTGAAGGCAACAGAGAGTATGGTACGGCGGCATATTTGAAAGCCTCTCATTCTGCAAAGAAGGTTCGTTTAAACATCGGCTACATCAGATTCGGCTA